AGGTATTTTTTTAATATCTATTTGTACACTCTCTCTCTGAGAAGTCTCTGTCCGAGAGGTCTCTCTCGCTTCTTAATTTAGCTTAGAGAATAGATAAGAGATAGAGAATAATTTAGCTTAGATATTCCATAAGAAAGACGAATCATTGTCGCGACATATAATAGAATTGTTGTAGCTCTTCATTTTCGCCTTTGATATGTACTATTTTATAGTATTTTATTAAACGTGTTATTCTTGTTCAACCTGTGTATTTATTTGAGAACCTGTCAACTTACCCGTCAACCTCCCCAATCATTTCATTTTGCCCTCCTATAAAGCCATCCTCTGATAGAGCCGCCGGTAAGTGGGGACAACTAGCCCCCTCGGTTCTCACACAAGTATTTTTTGCAGCTCCATACTTAATTTGTCTAATATAAATTATTTGTATTGTCTTGAAATTGATTTATGTCGGTGTCTACGAAAACAATTCATTTATGAACAGAGCAACTTTGAGATTCCTAGGTAAGCGTCCTCTTATGTAACCCAAATTACAATTTACATAATACTTTATAACATTCGTATCCGAACTAGTTTAGGAGCAAACTGTGTGGAGTGACTTATATTTGTTTGAGAGTATTTGAGGCTCCTGACAGCACAACAGGCTAAGGATTTCCTGTGTCTAAAACCGTTACTGTTTATATGAATAAAAATAAAGTGAAGATTGACAAGTGTGATGGATTCATTCGATGGTTTCGAACTTCATGTCATTAGGCTCGGTAGAGGCACGCCGTCAAGTAAGCGAGCGAGCGAACGAACGAACTGCTTCCATACAAATAACCTCTGGTCGATATACGCCTCGTCCAGACAATCTACGAGTATCGTCGTCATCTGCTAACTTTTTTGATCTACGTGCCAAATTTCATCGACTTCCGACCATTCGTTCTTGTGTTATCGATATTTTTCGTTTTACTTAAGATTTCTTTTCTCTTTCGGCCGAAGTATTTACGTTTTGTGAAATGTCGTTTGAAACACGCTCGTCGTAATAAACCTCAGTTTAATTTCAATTTTTTTTGGGCAACAACTTAAATTTTTAAATAACAGGATATTGAACCTTCCTACATTATACTAGTCAATATTAATATAATGTTCGAACTCTGGATTAAAGGTGAGAAAAATCCAGATCAGGTTTTGGAACTGTAACTGTTGGAGCTGATCCAAGTGCAAAATTGTTCCGACTGGAAGGTTTCTCGGAACTGCTTTGTCTGTTATACTAGACCAGGGGTCACCAAACTACGACCCGCGAGGTCAGTTTTTTCGGCCCGCCACCATAACGTGCCACAAATGAGGTGAAATATAATTATTTGTATGGAAGATCTCTAGATAAACTTACTATGTAGAAAAAATTAAAATAAGTGCATGTAAAAATGCCAGAAGTGGTCCAATATGATTTTTGCATCCGACAATAATATAATTTTTAGGAAAATCAGTCAAAGAAAAAAAATATTCTGTTTGGGTTGGAACAAAATATCGTTCTGATATCCAAAGTCGCCGAATTTTTTTGGACTTACATCTTTAATGGACTTAACATTATTATTAAACTGAAAACGTCATTAAATTTCAATTATGTGGCCGCATGGTCGGCACGTCTTTGATGCCATGTTAGTACTGACACCAAATTGTCTTCCGGACAACAAAATTTCGATGGCCGTTACGTAAGTTTTCGCGCGAGCGGTCGTGTTGTAGGCTTTCGGATTCGGAAAGGAGGCGGAAGGAGACAACCGGAAAAAGTACACTTTACAAAGTTATCATTTAACAAAATACCCGTTTATTAATCGATACCATCTATTTACAAGCTATATACAGATGCTTAGCGAATGCTAATAATATAATATATATATAGGAACCTTATAATTACGATCACGACCCTGACCGAGAAAGAGAGAGAGACGATAAATACCTTAAACACGTGTTTGTCCTACGACTTATCGATGCTCCGTTCGGAGGGAAATCCTTTTGTTTTATCCTTTTAGTGAGGGAACGCTCCGCTCACTAAAAGGGTTTCAGCCGATTTCAGCGGTCAGCCACGCCGATTTCAGCTGAAATCGGCAGTTCGGAACACACACACCGTTTAAAGTTTGAATTGCAGACTATTGTTCCCGATTATCATCACTCTTTCCTCTTTTATTAGGGGGCTCCTCCTTGGTTTTTCCCATGACTTACGACTTCGTTAGGAATTTAGTACATTGGGGCCAATAGTCAAATTTTCACTCGTTAGTTTCGGGTGAGACATTCAATGTGTCACCTTCGACAAAGAAACAAGTCCGTGGATAGGGCCGGATTTAGACTCGATAAGGCCCTAAGCTATTTCAGATATGGAGCCCTTTATAAGTCCAGATATTATATGTCAGTGCCAAATATGGTTTTCGGATACTTAGAAGGTTAAACTGAAATACAATTAAGAAGTATATTAGTGAAATAATAAATCTTTAACTTAAAATAATTTTAATTCATAACAAACTTAAAAATGCAAACTCTGGTGAAAAAAAAAAGTTCTTTTAAAGTCCATTTCTTTTATAAAATAATAATGAAATAATTTTAAAAATTATCGAAATTACCGGCATTTGCTGTCGAAATTTATTAGTAATTTTGGTAGTCATAATCATCGGTAATACCGGTTAATCGGTTATCGGTAATGCAAACCTTAGGCACAATAATGCTTTGTTTTTCGAAAAATTGGGTGAAGAGTATGCGGAGTTGGACAAATAATGCTGCAGTATATTTAAGTTTATATGACAATTGCTCACTCGGACAATTTTTTGAGAGGACCCCCAAGAAAGTGGGTGCCCTAAGCTGTAGCTTGTGTAGCTTATACGTAAATCCTGCACTGTCCGTGGGAACCAGTTTTAATTGTCTTTAACACTTTCTTTTTTTAGTTTTGTCTCCTTAACTTTTTCTCTCGACAAACAATATCTCGACAAACATTGTAACATTGTTATTTATGAAACGATGTTAAATATTTTGAATTTGTTCTATTGCAATGTTTCATATTGATTCGTCTTTATCGCTTTTCTAATATACAGTAGAGTAGTTTAAATCAATGTAAAAGATAAACAATGCATATTCTTTATCTTTGAGATGAATTTAAATTAAACTATTTAAGGGTCATTTCTGGATAGTGAAACAAAATTCATTAACTTGATATCACTCGAATTAGGAACCAGTATATATTAACATAGTTCAACATATATTACTCTAATTTCTTATTTAATTGGATCGTTTTTTAAAAAAATAGTCGAAAGGAACTCATTTAAAAATATGAAAACTGAATATCTATTAAATTAATAAAAATTTGATAGAAATTAGTGCTAAAGTTTTCAATAAATTACATATATTTTATATGCCATTTGTTTTCTTTCTATATGCTATTAGATTCCATTTACACACAACAGTGATGTGGCCGAGAGCACGGCCACGTCACTGTTGTGGGTGAAGAACTTTTCTGGGAATGAATTGGCTACGATAGTTATATGTTTGGATGAAGAAGAAAAAGAAATGCAATCAAGAAAACGCAGAAAATGGATACATCAAACATGGACAAAAAAAAAAAGATCAACAGAATGGGAATATCATATATATAAATTTATGGGAATGTCATATATATAAATTGTAAATGCTAATAACGAGTAAAATTCCCATTAAGTCCGACACTTTTGGAAATACACTCGATGCTTCTTATCTTCTCATCCCTCGACCTTTAACCAATTTTAGAAATTTTCGATAAAAAGGACAGGAGTTACTAAGCTTCAAACAGGGTTAACAAAATCCTGCCACACACACACAATCATCCATCATCCCCCTATCACAAATTCCCAAACATTTTTATCGATTTCGAAAACCTTTGCATTGTTAGTCTCTATAATCCTCCGAAAATTATAAGTTACTTTCAAACGCTGACCCCCCCATTATATCCCGCGATTTCATTCTTCACAAACTGCCAAACACTTTGATTGAGACCAAATTTTACCAAGTTACTCTCCCCCACCCTGCGGGAAACGTATACTACTTATTAAAAGAGGGAACTTAACTCTCAACACGAAATACTTTGCCAGTTGTAAATAAACCAAAAGCTTTTGTTCTGTATAATTGAACAAAATATCTTGACATATCTTTGCGTGTAATGCACTGTTCATCTATTCATAAATATTTATAAATAAGATTTAACTAGATATATTTAATTATAATTACTTACCATATTTAAAACTGTTCAGAGAATAGTTTTCTTCTGAACGATGACTATCACAATTAAATAATTCTGTCATATTTCTTCATAATTCTTATTGATGAAAAACCGTAAAAAATATGCCCGCATTATCATTTATTTACATTTAATTTCCTTACCAAAGGGACAGTTACAAAAAGACACTTTTTTTATGTATTGTCTACTTTTAAGAAAGTTTCTTAAACTTTGTAACTTTCACTTACTTGGAAATTTTTATCAAATATTATTATGCAATTTAATTGTGTTATTTTTTTAACTTAAATTAAACGTATTTTCTGTTTAAGTTTATCGAAATAGGAAGTGTTTAGGGTCCGGAAATACATTAATTCGCTCTCTGTTAATGCAAAAAATTAATTCAAACTTCGAACGGCCTCCTACAATAAATTAAATTCGAAGTACGTGGTTTCACTTCTTTCATATCGTCTTCGTTAAAATATTTTTATGTTTAATAAATGAGTAATAATTCTTAAATATGTAATAAAGTTATTTGAAATAAACTTGTCCTTTATTTTTCAAAGAAACTTTATTGTGTTTTATTTTCTGAAATATTTTCACGAACTGTGACAGAGACATGTCATCAATGCCAAATTGATATCATTGTATCTGCATTGTCTTCAGAAATTCGATATTTTTCAAGTATCGGATTATATAAACAGCTTCAACCAAACTTATTGGTTTTCACAGAAAAATAAATGGATAAGAATTAAATAATAAAAAAAGTTAAGAAATTCCTATATAAAGTTCGTCATTTTACGTTGTTTACACTACTCTACAGTAAGATAAGTCAACGAAAAAGGTACATTTTTACATATTTTAATATTATAAATATATTTATTTGAATATTTTAATTAATAGTAATTAATAATTCGAGTAACATGACAATAATCGACATCATATCTCGATTCTGTAAATGCCTGTACTAATTATGCTGTATTTACAATAATAAAAATTTTATTAAATAACATTTAGATATATTTTTATATAATAAAATAAACTTTTTATTATTCAAGCAAGAATTTTATAAGGTAAAGAAGAAGAAAAACCTTAATTTATAAGCTAAGGATTATGATTTTCTATATAATCATTTTGTAAGTACTGCATTATAATTATATTAATTTTAATATTATCGTTATTATAGAATTTTAACTTATTTATCTTTTGTAGACATTTATTAATTTCCTTTCAAAGAACTGTTTTAGCAAATAATGAAACTTTCAATTATACTTTACATGAGAATTCAATGCTAAATGTGGATTTATTCGAAGGCGATATTAGATTGGATACGTCATTTGGAGAGGTAATTTATAAATTTTTACACATTTAACCTTCGTTTGTTCATTTTTAGGACCTATTGTTTTTGGAGGTTCGAGGGAAAAGCCATGCCGGGATGCTCTTCCAATGATCTTCGTGCTTTCTAATTTCTTTAACAGAATCGCAAAAGACGTGTCTAATTCCCTGGTTAGGGTCTATCCATTAAGTTCTCTCGTCCACGTGTATCTTACATTTCAGAATTGCACTTTCATTACGAAAGACTTGGAAATCTTTCATGGTGACCTTGGAATCCAGACCGTGCCCAAGATCAAAAATTAGACGACCAAGAATGTGGTATCCTAATCATATGTGCTCACCAGTGTAATTAAGATATCTCGAATAGAAAAAAACAATGTCTCGATGTTTAATACTGTATTCTTATGCGTATTTTGTCTTTCGAATTTTCTACTCCTTCCTTCTTGCAGACACATAAGAGGCCTTAACTAGTGCCCATTGTGGGTTTGCCCAGATCACTCATCGTGGACCTGGGCACACCCACAATGGACACAACAATTTTCGCGGGTCGTTTCGGGTTTCCATTCAAAATGGTGATGCTATTCGTTTTATCTGTATTCGGACTGTCGCACGGATAACGGATGCCACAAACTTTGTAAAGTGTCTTAACACATATTCAATATTGTATTAATATAAAATGATATCCAGAAATTTTTTAATTAAAGAATTTTAAAATGTTTAGAGTCGAGCCGTTGTATTGCATCACAGAGTTTGGGATGATGGTATAATATATTACAAGTTTTCTCCTGACTTAAGTACGTTATTTTGCTGTATTTGAAGTAATTAATAATATTGATTAATATAATAATAACATTTTCTACTAGAAATTGTCAGAATTTTTACTTTGATAACAATTATTGACTACATCCAACTTGTAACTTGCTTACGTTTTGTATATAGAAGAACAGAGGATAATTATATTTATATACAGGAAGGAGAAGGGTAAGAATATTGATACGGATACTTAATTATTTACGTTATATTCATTATAATATATGTATACATACATTTCAGATGTAATTCCCACATTGGAAAACCGGGTGGACGTCAGATTCTTAATTTAGGAAGTGGATGTTGGAACGTCGGGATAATACTTCACGAATTAGGCCACGCTATTGGCTTGTTTCACGAACATACTCGACGGGATCGTGATAAATATATAAAAATTTTATTGGATAATATTAAAGAAGGTAAGTCAAACTGTTCAACATATTTTATGCATAAATAGTTTGAACTGATGACTTTTCTTTAACGAGCAGAACATAAAGAAGCGTTTCAGATTTACCCCAGCGTTGGAGTATGTGGCACTTATAGTTACGATACTATTATGCACTATGGTCCTAAACTAGGCGCTAAACATGGTAAAATTACTTTAATGCCAACTGTTCCAAATGTTACCATTAAAGAAATTACGGACCGGCAACTTTTGTCAGAATCCGACATTAAATGTATTAACAAGTTATACGAATGCGAATAAATTCTGTTGTAAATATATAAATAATGGCAAAACTTTATTTTATGTAGGAAATAATTAAATCTCTTCCTTTTTGAATGGAGTTGAATATCCTAATTCATATACAAGTATTTTTTGTAGCTCCATACTTAATTTGTCTAATATAAATTATTTGTATTGTCTTGAAATTGATTTATGTCGGTGTCTACGAAAACAATTTATTTATGAACAGAGCAACTTTCAGAGTCCTTGATAAGCGTCCTCTTATGAAACTCAAATTACACTTTACATAATACTTTATAACATTCGTATCCGAACTAGTTTAGGAGCAAACTGTGTGAACAGACTTAAGCCTGGACTCCACATTACCGGAATCCGCAACGTAATCGTAAAACTGAAAGCCAAACTGACGAAACTTTCAGTTTTGTAACGTTCAGTTGGACAGAAACAAGACTGAAAGCAGAGTTAAAAATTATTTAACTTTTTCGTTGTCGTCCCGCGCTTCTGTCGTACTGCAACCAATCAAACCGCAAGGATTTGTGACGCGTAGTCACGTGCATTAGTCACGTGTAGTTTCATAGTCGTAATGGTAGAAAGTGTAGCGAAAACGATGAGGAAACAAATAGATTTGGAATTTTTCATCGAAGAAGTTAGAAAATACAAATTTCTGTACGACAAAAAATGTAAATAATTCAAAGATTATTAACAATTTTATTGTTAATAAATGGAGAGAAAGCATGGCAAAATCTGTAGCGTGGTCCATGTTTGACTCTACGACAATTACAGAACTGATCAACAGATGGCGTATTTCTAATGGTGTCAAGTTAAAACGAAAACATAACTGAAACGAAAACTCTATGTTTCAGTTCTGTTCCTGAGTTTCTGTCTTCAGGTAATGTGGAGTCCAGGCTTTATACTTGTTTGCGAGTATTTGCGGCTCCTGACAGCACAACAGGCTAAAGATTTCCTGTGTCTAAAACCGTTACTGTTTATATTAATAAAAATAAAGTGAAGATTGGCAAGTGTGATGGATTCATTCGATGGTTTCTAACTTCTTGTTACTAGGCTCGGTAGAGACACGCTGTCAAGTAAGCGAGCGAACGAACGAACTGCTTCCATACAAATAACCTCTGGTTGATATACGCATCTTCCAGACAATCTACGAGTATCGTCATCTGCTAACTTTTTTGATCTATGTGTCAAATTTCATCGACTTCCGACCATTCGTTCTAGTGTTATCGATTTTTATCGACACTTTTCATTTTACTTAAGATTTCTTTTCTCCTTCGGCCGAAATATTTACATTTTGTAAAATGTCGTTTGAAACACTCTCGTCGTAATAAACCTCGGTTTAATTTCAAAATTTTTTTTGGGCAACAATTTAAATTTTTAAATAACAGGATATTGAAGTTTCCTACATTATACTAGTCAATATTAATATAAAGTTCGAACTCTGGATTAAAGGTGGGAAAAATCCGCTTCCGGTTCTGGAACTGGAACTGTTGGAGCTTATCCAAGTGCAAAACTGTTCCGACTGGAAGGTTTCTTGGAACTGCTTTGTCTGTTATACTAGACCAGGGGTGACCAAACTACGGCCGCGGGCCGGATCCAACTTTTGGCCCTCCCCGCACCGTGCACAGCCTACAATAAGAACAGACTAGTCAAATGGGGGAAATCATATTGAGGTGTTGTGTCCAAGCGAAAATATTTTCTCACGCTAGATGTAGCCACACAACGGACCATAACAACACATTGATTAAGTTATCCTAGCTATATACTGTCATATATTCGTAAAACAAAACAGAAATTCAAACTTAGGATATAGCAAATTATTGAATTTTTTAATTAAGATTTTTTCCGGATTTCTGCAGAACTATCTAAAATAGGGGTTCCCAAAGTGGTCGATATCGACCCCAAGGGGTCGATAAGAGTTCTCCAGGGGTCGATTAATACACGAGGGTCGAAAGGGGGTCGATTAATACCAAAGAGGATAAATTAAACTATCTAGGAAAAAATAGAATATTCCAATAAAAATTCGAAATACGGATACGATCAACAACATTACTGACTACCCTAGTTATAACTTGAGTTTTGCCTTAGCCTACGCCGCTTTAAGCATGTGTTACTCTGTTTTCACGCATCTATTATACACAGACATACGTTGCACAGTTACATTCTAGTAGGGTTGTCACGCTAAGTATTTTATATGTAAATGTAGATATTTTGTCCTTTACAGAGAAAATATCGTAATATATCGAAGATCATTAATATAGTACAGAAGCGTTTGCGAGGAAAAAACGTTACAATTGTTCGAGCTCGAACAATCATAACGGCCTTTCAAGTAAAAATGGAGCTATTTACATCTTTACTGGCACGATCCAATTTTAAATATTTTTCAAACTTGCGAGTACTAAAAGAAAATGAAAATATAATCTCCATATGAACCGGGGAGGAGACGAAAAAAAGAAAAAAAATGATATAATTTCCGACCGTGATTTGGAGATATATATTAAACATATTGATAAATTAAGAGAAGACTTTAAAGCACATTTCGAAGACTTGGAGAATATGCACGTTTCCGAATGGTTTGCTAATCCATTTGATGTTAAAATAGATAATGAAGGTAGTGAACCTGGCTTAGAAGATGAATCCAGTGAAATATGTGTAGATCTCGAAACTAAAGCGTTGTTTAAAAATAAAAACCTCGGTAAATTTTGGAGCAATAACAATATTGCCACTAAATATCTTAAGCTCAGAGCAGAAGCCGAACCTTTCTTACTTGCATTCCCAACTTCATACATGGCTGAAGCTGATTTTAGCCACGCCAACGCAATTTTGACAAAACAGAGGAAGAGATTGAACTTGGAAAACCGTGGTGATTTGCTTCGGTTGAAAACTTACCAATTTTCAACCGAATATCAATAATCTTGCCGCTTCTCTTCAGACACATCCATTCCACTAATATTAACTATTTTAATAGAAAGGTATGTTAACATATTTTTAAAGCATTCAGTAGTAGTCGCAAAATGACAGTAAGAGGTTTTTTCATCCAATATAACTTATATTATGTTTTCAAAGATAATTGTGTGTAAATGCAAATTTCCATCTATCCATAATTTTGCTGTCATTTTTTAGGATTATAAATCAGTGGAAAATATCTCCTTTTTCTGTTAATGTTATTGGGTGGATTTTATAAGAAATGGGAACTATAAATTGTTTTGTTGGGTTGTTATGCAGGTCTCCTTATCGCTTAACATCAGAAATGCAAAAATGATTTAATGTTTTGGTTAAATATATAATCTGGGAGTCGATAAGAAGACAAATATTTTATAAAGGGGTCGACGGGATAAAAAGTCTGGGACCCCTAATCTAAAACAATAGACATATTATCAATAATTATCTAGACGGTTAAATGCAATAATTAATAGGGTAGATGTACTGTACCTATTCTGGCCACATTAAAACAATTTTCAACTTTAAAAATATTTTATATTCTTACAATTTTTTAAAGCAATGAAACATAGTAAAAATAATACAAAAACATGTTCTCTGTTACTTTATTACATTAATTTTTATTAATATTAACATTTTATAAACAAAATTTAAATTTTTAAAAATATTACAAAAATCATCAGTTTTCACCATGGTTTATAATCTGATTCCAGAAAGTGCTTACTGCAGACAACTGACCAGTCACTTGGCTTCCAAAGTTTTGAACTGTTTTCATCTGTAAATTTTAAAAAGAGTTAGCTTATACAGTAAATCTATTAGTTATACTATCTATAAATAATTTGTAAGCATAAATAGATAAATTGTACAAAAGTTTAAAAAATATAGCCTACAAAAGTTTTAAAATATAGCCTAATCTCATTGCAATTAGG